GGTTCCCAAACACACTGCTGTCAAAGCCGCCCCGAAGATTCGCTCCGAAAAACGCCCTGAGAGACCACGTCGTTCAGCCCCAGCACCTCCGACCACTCCCACAGCCAGTGCACCTCCAGTTCCTCCCGCCATCCAACAAGATCTGGCAAACTTGGGCACTACGACTAAGGAACTGGCTCTCATTCAACAACAACAACGGCAGCAACAACAACAACAACACCAACAACAACAACAACAGCTTATCATGGAGTCACACCGCCTCCAAGAGCAGCAACAACAACAACTCCGTCAGACTCCTCCGACTACAACGTCACCTACACCACCACCGACTACACCTGCCCCGGGACCAAAGCTCGACCAGTTGAACCTCCAGCACCAGCACACACTACATCATCTGCGAACACCGCTCCACCGATTCGTATTCCTTCCAAGTCGCCAACAACAACCGGTACACCTACACCCAGGCCTCGCCGATCGCGCTCTCGCAGACGCTCACATCACCGTCCTCATCGTGATTCTACACACCGCCGACCACAACGTCTTCGATCACCACTCCCAAGACACCGTTCCACTACGATCCCAAAAAGTCGTCGAACACCCTCACCATATCGCCGCCGATCGCCAGCCCGTCGTCCAGAACCACCTCGCCGACATCACGCACCGGACCCTCCTCGACGCAGTCGAACGCCTTCCCGGAGCGCCATTGTTCTGACTCCGGCACCACGCAGCTTGGATCCTGGTTTTATTCCTACGCCAGATGCTGATGACACCTGGGGTGACTGGAACAACCAACCTAATGCCCATCGACCTGATGATAGACGACCTCGTTCTCCACCAGGTCCTCCTCCAAGCACTTCGGCAGCTGCACCCTTGGGTTCGGTTTCCTATAGGGTGGCCACTGGGGACAGTGACGCATCCGAGCCAGATCCAGAAGAACACTTCTCGATCGCTACTTACGAACCAGGAGACACCGACATTGAAGAAATGAAGGCAGCAGCAGTTGACCCCGAACGGGTCCGATGTGTCACTGAACTTGGTAGCTCTCATGTGGTCTCGATTCGCACTAAGTTGGATAACCCTACCAAGATCTTGTACAAAAACTTCATTGACGAGATGTTCAACCAGTTGGCAAAACTACATCACGGATGCCAATGAAACTATATATACATCAAAGCCAGCCGGTCCACAGTGAACAACATTGCGAAGGCTTTTGCCCAAGCTCGGTTGCTCGATCTCAACTTAGCAAGGAAAACACAAGGTTTCTTCGTCGAACCAGAATGTTTGCTGACCATCGCGGTACCAACGGGCCTCCCACAGAAGGATATTTTCAAAGGAGAGCACTCCGGTACCTACATCGGCTACCACAAAACAAGTTGGGAATCAGTTGCCAAGATTCTGGTGGAAAATTGCGTCCGGCCAGCAAGCTGGGCAAAAAACGAAGCTGGCATCCCAACCCAATTCCCATGCTACGGGTTCTTCGGATACTCCTTTGAGATTGCGGACACCGAGGACTTGAAGCCGTGGCCCATCCGAGTTTGCACTTAATTCTATAACCTCTACAAGGTTGGCAAAGGACAAAACCCCTCGGGCATCCTGGCCACGTGCCGGTCACCCAAACTCATCCGTGCCAATCGGGGGGCAACGACCAAATTCAACGCCTCTGTGCGATCGCTGGCATAGCAAAGGGCAAAGATGGTGCAACGGCTGTGAAGTATCCTTTGTGGCATCAACGCATCCAGTATTTCCTCAATTGATTACCAAGGCTCCGATCCCTACTCAGCTTCGACTTCTTCAGTCGCAGGAGATCCTCCCGAACCTTCGCCGACCGAACCTCCCTCAACAACTCTCGAAAATGCCGCCGTGTCCACACCATCGGCATCGAACCCAACACCTCACCATCACACTCGGGGAGCCGATGACCGCAATGCACATCGTGACACCAATGCACATCGTGACACCACTGAATCTGATCGCCGAGGACATCATCGAGACACTCCTTATTCTTGGAATCGAACTTCCTCGGATTACCATGGTCGCCACACCTCTCACCGAGAAGCACGCTCTCGTGACCATCATCGTGAAGGATCTTCGGGATACTACGCTTCCGAACGGAATGCTGACCGTTCCCGCTGGTGATCTCTATATCAAGGAGAAGCAAATTTGAACCGAGTGGCTCAACCGGCCTTTTTTGGAGTAACAATGTTTCTCCCGACAGGCACCGGCGTTTGACACCACTTCTTCCGTAAAAACCGCTGGCTGCCCACTTTCGGATGGGAATGTCCTTTCGCATATTGCTATGATTTCCTGTTATTGCGTTTTATCGGACTTGGTTTTGGTCTTGCTCCGCAGATACCCGCTTATGTACCTGGAATTTTCCGAATTTTTGCTGACCGACTATGGCTAGGGCTAAGCCAGAAAACCCCAAAACGAAACAAACAGACAAACGTTCCATTGCAAACGGCTTTATTCGACCTTTGAGTGTATTCGGAGATCCTATGCAATTTCAAGCTGGCTTATTCCACATTGTGTGTACTCCATTGCGACCGCCGACATCATGGCGTCCCAAGACTTGATCTCTCAGTTTACCCAAGGGTCACGGATGATCCCGGCATCGCAACCAGATCGATCCCGCACTCCTCGACGCCCTCATCAAGAATGGCATCAATCAGCACCGACGTTTCGTGGGCCGATGCACTATGCAATGGCTGCTTCTCGACCTATGGGGCTTTACCAAGGGGTACCTCCACCACCACCTTCAACATCCTCCTGGCCCTCACGACCTTCATGGACAACCCCTCCGCCAACTCCATCGTTCCCACCTACACCTCCTGTTCTACCTCATGGACCTCAAGACTACAACACCTTCACACCTCAGAGATGCGGAACCACCACACCGAGATCACCGCCGTCCACTACCTCACCACCTGGCTTTTCCCCTGTCCGTCAGGGATACACTTGTCGTCCGATCGACATCCCACCGATCGATGGATGGAAACCCGACGTTGACTTCCATGACTCCAACAAGGTGAATGGTTTGGACTTTCCTTCGAAAATCCGCCAAAGTAGATTTTCGAGCTTCAAAGACATTGAAGGTATGGATCCTTTGCAGGTCCCATTGTGGAAATTCTTATATCAAGGTCTTCACAATACATGGCTTCGTCGCATTGCCTATGGGAGGGAAACCTTTGTGCTCCCTTTCGACAACATTGGCACTACGGTATTCATTGCAGAATTGGTGGCTCAACTCCGCACCCGGAATGTGGACTTGGACAAGCTGGCGGCATACAAATCGCGCGCCTGGGGCCAATACGTCAACCAGAAAGAAGCTACGCAACACATGGCCAAGGAAGTCGCCCAACTTATGCAATCGTGGTTACCGTCGCAACCGGCCGCCGACAACGCCAGTCAACAACGCATTTTGGAACTGGAAGCTGAATTGGCCAAGGTCAAATCGCAGAATACCAAGGGCCTACAGGGGCAACCATCCGCTTCTACATCTTTCGATCCTTCTTGCTTGCTGGTGTCCCCTCGATCCGTCAACCCCTGGCTTGTGGAGAACGAGCCTTCCTCGCTGACCGAGACGCAATACAAGAAATGGCTGAAAGACTTGAAACTCCCTTCTCACAAACCGGAAACATTGGAGAAACAGTTGGAAAGTCACCACATGGTGGAACAGCCAAGAGGACGATGCGGTGAAAACGATCCAGAGAGCCAGTGTGGCGATGGGCATTGATCGGTGCAAACACAAGAAAGCTTCGACTGATGAGATTGTCCTCAAGGTCATGACTGTCGCGATGCTGATGAACTCCTGACTAGCCAAGCAGCCCGTATCATGCCGGATCTCGCCGTTGCCCATGCATGCATTTTGTCGTTGGCTTTGCTCACTCCTTTTACTCTTTCTCCTTCGGTGGATGTCTTTTATGCTTTTCGAATGATTCAAACGGCGCTGATGGGTCAGTACGTGTTACTGCATCCCAAAGGCAATTCAAAACTGCAAGCTCTTCTCAACGGCACTCCGTTTCAATGTATATTCTTTTGCACCTCATGGGATGACCTGAAGGTCTCTCTCAATTGTTTCAAACATTCGCATGCTGTTTTTTTTCCGATTTTCTCACATTGCCAATTTCCAACCGATGTTCTATTTGGGATCCACGTCGTCATTTGTTCTGGACCGCGAACATTCCCGGTACCGGAAGTTTTTACAAGTGCAGCAGAACAAATTCGTCTTGGCCGAAGTAGCTCTGAGATTTTGGTGTAGATACGACAACTTCTGGATGTGGTCGATTTTGCCTATCTACACTAACAAATCCAACTTTTGGGTTTGGAACAAGCCTTAATTCAATTGTGGCAGCCTCAATTGAACACTCCGTTCATTTATCAATTTTTCAATTGCCGGAAAGGACTTATTACTCGAACCAAGTTTTCCAGGTCCCGCCAGTCCGGAGCTTTTTCATTATGGCGCAAACTTCGATGGAGGTCAGCACCCCAACAAGTTCGACGAGCTCTTCACAGTCCCGAATTCCATCGCCGTGTACAACTGTGGGAAATCATCCAGGATTTAGGTAGCAACTCTATCAGACGCTTCCACATGGAGAAAAGACTCCGGTCCAACGAAATTGGCGCACAGGGATGCTACTTTATCCGACGTCTCGCCAACAACCTTGGAGAACCCCAACGATCTTTTGCCGTCAATGCTATCGACAGGGCCTTGAAGTTTTGGAAAGCCAAACGAGTCCGAAAACCTCCCTGGATCTCCAATACAGCTTATTTAAGCAATATGCCTTAAATAGATAATATTGACTTTTTTACAACATTGCTTAAATTTAACTTTGAATATAGCTTATTTAAGCAATGTACTTTTGGCACTTTTAAGCATGAATATATAGCTGCAAGGATCATACAGCTCCTGTGTAGGAGATGTTTGGATGAAGTGCAATCATCATGGTTATCATTGTAGGATTTGGCTCAAATGCTACCAATTTTTCTGCCTACTTGAAGGCATGTCTCGCAGAAGCAATGATGCTTCACCAGAAGATTTGAGAAAAAATTTGAAGATTCATTTGCCCAGACCTCCATCCATAGGCTTCTTCAGTATGACCACAGAGCAGCAGATCAATGAGCAAGAGGAGTTGTTGAAGGAAATGATTCTGATCAGCAAACGCCCCACTGCAAGTTGGATATCTTCTGCCTGCAAACTTGTGTGGCAAAAGTGCGACAGTGAGCTGCTGAGCAAATTTTCCAAATGCATGGCAACTTGCTCCCAATTTTGCTTTTCCAAAGCACTGCAAGCTACCTCTGGTGCCAAGTTGTCTCCTGCAGTGAAAAGACTTGTGAAAGTTATCAACCAAAGTTCCTCTAGACCTTTGACCTGTGGTGACAAATTGGTTCGAAAGCTGAAGAGGGTGCCTTGGATGAGACATACTTTTTTTTTGGTGTGCTTTTGTTAAAGTCTTTTTGAAAAGCATTTGGCTGGAGTGTTTGCTGGATCAGGAACGATCTGATGCATCTGACAAAGCTGCTGGTTCTCCTGCTAAGAAGAGGCCAACCCAGAGCAGCTCCAGTACCATGCCTGCAGTGGCAGATGTACAGTCACTCTATGCTTTGGCAGGTGTCTCCATTGGCAAAACTTCTTCTAGCTCCAGAACTGCCAATGCCACTGCTTCCTCTGTGGATGGCATTCTCATTTCTTCTGAGGAGGAAAAGGAAGATAGCACTGTGAAGTCTGTGAAGCTTCCAACCATGGACCAACCTGCTGGCAAAGCATGGTTTGATGCCAAGAGAGGCTGCATGGTTAGAGGCATTTCTGGAGAAGCTGGTGCTGTAGAAGAGGCCACTATGTCACCTGGTGACTCTGGCTTTCTTGTGGCAACTTTTCCTGGTGAGAGTGGCTTTGAAACCCAAATTCATTGATCAGTTTGGCTCAAGGTTCCCCTTCAGCCAGCAAGGCCAAAGGCAAAGCCAAGGCCAAAGCTAAAGGCAAAGCCAAGGCCAAAGCTAAAGGCACAGCTGTTGCCAAAGGCAAAGCTAATTCTCAGCCCAAGGGCAAAGCAAAAGCTAAGCCCAAGGGGAAAGCAAAGGCAAAAGCTGTTGCTGTGGATAACACTGATCATGATTCTTTGTCTTTTGAGCGGTATTATTACAAATCCTCAGGTAAATGTGGCATCAGGCAGAAGAAGCCTGTGAGAACCCAGTTGTTTGAATTTGGAGATTTCTCTGTGTTGAAAGAAGATCTGTATGAAATTGCAGATCAGGCCATTACCCGATTGTTGGCCAAGGATTTGGCCATAGCAGATGCTAAGTCTTGGTGCCTTGAAAGGCTTGAATCTCTCAAGCAATCTTAGGCTCCTTTTGTAGATTGCTTTCTGCTAGTTTTTGCCATTTGAAAAAAATACTTGTTGGGTGTGTGTGGGTGCAACTTTCTCCTGTGGAGGAGATTAATTAGTTCTTCTCAAACCTATAGTTATATGGTCTCCTGTGCAGGAGGTATAATGTTAATGTCTTTTTAGTTAGGGCGCCAGCAGCCTTGATTCCAGGAAACTTCTATTTCCTCCTGTGGTGGAGATTCCTCCTGTGGTGGAGATTGCATGCCAACTGCGATCCATCAGTCTGGACCTCATTTTTGTCAGGTTTTGGGAGTGTGGCCAAAGTTTTAAGGTAAAACTCCTGTGTAGGATTGTTGTTGGTACACAAACACTTCTAAGGTAAATCTCCTGTGTTGTTGGTACACAAACACTTCTAAGGTAAATCTCCTGTGTAGGATTGTTGTTGGTACACAAACACTCCTGTGCAGGAGGGATTTAGGTTATTTTTGCAATGTGTGTCAAGATGTTATGGTTTCATGTGTGCATGTCCACTGCAGCTGTCAAGCAAATCTGTTTTTGTTTCACCAAGCTTCACGGCCATGGGGGCAAGCCAGAGCAGAACAGATGCTCATGTGAGCCAGGAGGATTTAGCTGATGGGATTGACTTAGCATGTGTCAAGATGTTATGGTTTCATGTGTGCATGTCCACTGCAGCTGTCAAGCAAATCTGTTTTTGTTTCACCAAGCTTCACGGCCATGGGGGCAAGCCAGAGCAGAACAGATGCTCATGTGAGCCAGGAGGATTTAGCTGATGGGATTGACTTAGCATTAGCTCTAGCTATGTCATTGGAAGCTCCTCCAGGAATTCCTGCTGCTCCTCCTGTTGCACCTGCTGCTCCAGAGGCAGCTGCTGCAGCAGAAGGTTCTGATGGCCAGTATCTTCGACTCTGCCAGGTTTGCAACACAGTCTCCTACCTGAGGCAGGGAGTTTGCTTGAACCCAGGATGCAGACTGAGTTATCTGCAAGATACACCACAGAATGTTGGTGTTCGTTTGCAATCCTGGGGGAATGAACATTCCCAGGAAACAGCAACAGTTGACCAACTTGAAGGAGCACGTAAAAGGAGGCAGGGAAGCAGCTGGTATGACAAGCAGGGCAATCCAAAGAGATCCAAGGGTGCGAAGCAAAGACAATGGAGTCAGTCCTTTGCAGCTGGAAAGCATCCTCGGACAGGAGTGGACACCTGGAAACCTATTCAGCGACAGGGGAAGTGGTGGATTTGGAGCAGGGAAACCCACTGGAAAGCCTTTGATACCTATGAGGAAGCTTTAGCTGCCAAAGAAGGTATCCATGCCTCCAGGTCTCCAGCCCCTGCAGAAGCAGCTGCAACACCAGAAGATGCTGCTTCAGCTACAGGGCCTGAGGCAGCAAAGGCTGCACCATCTGCATACAAGAGTGGGAGCATTGCTGGTTTGGCACCACTCTGGGAGTTTGCATACAACCAGATGAGGCGAACACTGGAAGAACAGGAGCACAACTATGGGATGGCAACCAGTGCCAGGCCACCAGCTCCATGGAGGATGCCCCAGCCAGAAGCTCCAAAGGCAGCAGCTGTACCAGAAGGATCCTTTGCTTTGGCCCCACCACCGATCAAGGCTATGCCACCCAGGCCTGACACTATGAGCAATGACCAGGTCCTGAACTACATGGCTGGTGCCATCAGTCAGCACCTGTTGGCAGCTTTGATGCAAGGATTTCCCATGGCTATGCCTCATGCTGGTGGTATCTTTATCCGACCAGCCCCAAAGATGCATGCATTGGCTGCTCCAAAGCCACCACCTCCAAAGGCACCAGCAGTGCCTGTGACTGTGCCAGGTGATAGCACAGATGAAGAGGAAGGTGAAGGAGGCAGCAGAGATTAAATTTGCAAAGCAAACTGTGCAATCTTCCTGGCCTGTGTAAAGGGTCAAAAAAGGTCAGACCTGAACTCCTGTGTAGGAGGCTGCTTACAGTGTGGACCAACAGAGCACTAAATGAACTCCTGTGCAGGAGATATATGCCACATATATATATAAATATATATATATGTATGTATATATATATATATATGTATATATATATATTAATATTAATATATGTTTGTTTTTTTGGGCAAGCATTGGCAGGGACTCCTGTAGATGAGTTTTCTTCTGGTTCAATTGATCAGCTATTTGCATGGTTTCAATGGACAAAGCTTCAACCTTCAGTCTTGTGTCTGCCCAGGCTTGGACCTCCTGTGCAGGAGGCTGTGGAAGCCCAGATTTCACAGGGACATGGAGATGAATTGTGTAGTCTCACCCATTTTTTCACTGAAGATTTCTGTGCAGCTTGCAAGGTTAGTCTGAGATAGATTTCAGTCTAGAGGTGGTTAGGTATGACTAACTCTGATTGGTAACCACTACTAATCTTTACCCCAAGAATATTATGTCCAGCTGTGCCAAGGTTCTGGAATGCATCTCCTGTACAGGAGGACTGGCCCTGGGAGTACAGATGAATCTGGTTTTGGTGGAAATTCATTCCATGTACATCCTCCTATCCAGGAGTTAATATTACAACTTACTCCTGTACAGGAGCATTTAGTGATTCTCAGAAAATATGTAATGAAACCAGATAAGGTTGAAAAAAGGCTGAAAAAGTTGAAAATTTTCAACTTTTTCAACTATGGTTTTCCCTTTAAAGTAATAGGAAAAGGCTGGTTGAAAAAGTTGAAAATTTTCAACTTTTTCAACCTTTTTTCAACCCTATAAATTCTAAGGATAGATTCACATAAAGGGAATCTACAAACTTTCTTGGGTGCAGTGTTTGTTGATGAGACCATCCTTATTCATAGAGGTATTCAACAATTCAGTTTATGCTGTAAATCAAAAATATCATAGCAATGCTGGGGTTACCCCCATGAAGTTCATACTGCAATTTCCTCCAATGAAATCTGAGTTCAGAAAGAATATGAAACCTGTGCAGCCATCCCCAACTTAAGGTGTAGATTCTGTGTGAACCTGTGATTTCTATTTGTTTCCCATGGCACCAAAGTCAAAGGTCCAGAAGCCTGAGAAGAAATCAAAGCCTCAGCAAAACAATCCTCAGAATCTCTGGAGCTCAAGAAGGAGCAGCAGAATTTCCTCAACACTTTGAAGTACAGAGCCAACCAGTGCAACTCTACAGAAGCACAGGAGTTGCTGAAGGTGCATGCCTGGGGGTTAAAGGGGCTGAGGTGATGCAATTATAGTGGTGACATACCACAATAAATATTTTAGTCTATGTTGACACATGTATTGAAGTACTCATTGCAGTTATACAGATTTGTTCCATGTAGGGACCCCCCCTGTACAGGAGACTTTGCTTTGGGGCAATTGGATTCTTTGCTAAAGAAACACATACCAGAAAGGCATATCTAAAAGATTATATGGTTTTGGGGACAGCAAATATTTTAATTTCCACTTTATAAACAAAGTGCCATAATTCAAGACAAACATAGTCATGCCTTTGCAGCTATTGATTGGCCATCAAGGGGGTGGTAGTGGATCATAAAAAAGTTTTGTGTAACTGTTAGATCCCCACAGCACAGAAAAAATCTACCCACCCATGCAGGCATCCATAGTCAGATAAAAGCAATGGAAATCATATTTACCCAAACAAATAGTTAAACATTCAAATATACATAGTCAAATTCAAATAAAACTACTTGGGACCCTTGTATCACAATAGATGCTACCACCCAACTCCTACACAGGAGAATGCATTCATATACCTATAGCCCTTTGCATTCAGGCCTACAACCAGTGCAATCCAGAGAAGAAGAAAGGGCTCATTGCCAAGTACAAGGCAGAAGGTGGCATCAAAAATTTGGCATGGGTCACCAACTATGTGGAGAAAGCGAAGGACTTGGAAGTCACCGAGACAAAGATCACCAGGGGCTACTTCTATGCATCTGAGATCCTCAGGATGAATGGCTTTCAGCAGGGCACTCTTGACCAGAAGACCGAGCAGAAGGTGTTGGAAGGTCTGTTGGCAGACTGCTACCAGGAGTTCCAGGTGGATCCTTCAAACCCACCTCAGGAACTGAAACGGGAAAACAAGAAGGTACCCCACCTCACCAAGTACTGGTATCAAAAAAGTACCAACACCTCCTCCGAGCAGAACATCAAAGAGGCAGCCATGGAAATGAAGTTGGATTGCCAGTCCAACAATTTGAAGTCAGCCTTGGAAGCCTCTTCTGGGAGCAGCAGTGGCATTGTCAAGGTGGAGAACCCAAAGTTCCTGGAGATGAAGCAGGAGATGGCCATCACCCAGTCCATGAAAACAAATATGGAGAAGGTTTTGGCTGCCACCGAGACTCTTCACAAGGACCTTGTGGCTGAGAACAAAGCAGAAGCCAAGGACTTGCTCAACAAGATGCTGCCTGCCTTGACAGAAGCAGGACAATTCTTGGACAATGTGAGGAAGCTTTTGGCTGAGTGCAAATCCTTTGACACTTCCACCGATGTCAAAAAGATCGAACCTAAGATTACTGAGCTGAAGGCAGGTGCTTCTGCTGGTGCCCATCACATTGATGGGTTGAAAGCCATCAGCAAAAGGCTGAAGGCAATTCAGTAGATCCTAAGGTGCATCTCCCCTAGCTGGCAGTTTTGGAACTCTTTTGCTGCAGTTGACTTCACAGCACAGGTTCAAACAGTGTTTTGCCGCAAATTCCTGGTGCGGCTTCCTGTGGCATGCATTTGCTTCTATGTGAAAGCCATGTACAATAGTTACATGTCATGCTTTCCCCATATACATATACAACCAGACCATGAAGTCATGGGCTCCTGTGCAGGAGAAACATGTCTTTTCTTTCTCCCATAGCCTTTCTTTCTCAAGATGAGTATGCATGGTAAAAATCAATTCTTGCAAAGCAAGGATGATCAATCTCCCAACAAGAGATTGAAAGGTAATATTTCTGATTTGTTCTTACAGGGCATCATTAGTGGCAAGAGAGCTTGTGCCCTATTCACAGATGCTGCAGATGCCCAAGCAGAAGGTTTGGAAAACTTGCAAGGCATTTCACAAGGACAAAATGCTTTGAGAGATTTACAGAGAAAGTTGAGCAAAAGCAATCCTTGGCCTCCACTGTTTCCTGCAAAGGTGCATTTGAAGCATTTACCTACAGACCAGACCTTTGTGGAAACCTTGCATATGCTCTTACCTCATGAAATTTGTTCAGCTGTAGCTAGGTGGAACCAGGATGCTGGAGACAAACCCTTTACAGCTGCAGGGCTTACACCAAAAGCGCGGCAACACTTTCTGTCTTTTTGCCAGGGCCACAACAGAGATCCCAGCAAGACATTTCCATTAGGTTTCTGGATTGATGGTGTGCCTGTCAAGTGGGACAGGTCAGAATCAATGATTGTTTTGACTTTGAATTTTCCAGGTCAAGTGGACAATGATTTTAAAAGATTGAGAATTCCAATCACACTGGTGAACAAGAAGTTCCTGGTGGAGGAGACCATGCAGGACTTGCTGAACATCATTGCATGGAGCTTTACTTGTTTGCATGCTGGATTCTTTCCTTCCACTTCTCTTCCTGGACAAGATCCTTTTCATGGCTGGAGACAGAAACAATGTGGCAAGCCATTGGGTGCCCATGGCATGTTGATAGAAGTCAGAGGAGATTGGGAGGCATACAAGAACTTCTTTGGTTTGGCTGGCTGGAATGACAAGAACTGTTGCTACAGATGTCAAGCTTCTCTCACAGATATTAGGGATCCTTCATTGGAAGCTTCTTGGAGGTCTCAGAGGAAAACTTTGTGGCGGCATTTTGAGGAAGCCAAATTTATTTCACCTCTGTTTTCCATCCCTGGTGTAAACTTGGACACTTTTGTGATAGATTGGCTGCATTGCATGGACCTGGGAATGGGAGCTGACTTTGCTGGCAACTTACTTTACCATGTTTTGCCCAAATTTCCTGGCAATGGTATGAAGCAACAATGCAAAGCTTTGCATAGACACTTGCAAGCCTGGTGCAGAAAAAATCCAGACTGTTCAAACAGACTCACAACTTTGACTCCTTTGATGATTCGCAAAAAAAATGCAAAAGGGAAATTGACTTCCCCAAAGCTGAGAGCTAGTGCAGGGGAATTGAGATCCTTGGTGCCATGGCTGCTGGAACTGGCTGAATGCACATTGGACAAAACAGACTCTTTTGAAAACATGGTGCTGGCTGCAACAAAGCATTTGGTATCCATGTATCAATGTTTGAGTCGAGATACACACTCACCTGCAGATATGGCCAGCAACTGTAGGAAATTTCTGCTGCTGTATGTAGAATTGGAGAAACATGCTATTGATGGCTTGTGGAAATTCAAGCCCAAATTCCACATGGCCCAGGAATTGTGTGAGTTCGACCTAGTCAATCCAGCACTGACTTGGGTGTACAGAGATGAAGATTATGGAGGCTCCATTGCCAAGGCTTCCCAGCACAGACGTGGAAACAACACAGCTTTGGCAATTTCTAGAAATACTTTGTTGAAATTTGTTGCTGACAATCTTGTGCCCACTTGGCCTGTTGACTGATTTTCGCGAATCCCTGCTTTGACAAAAAAAGACAAGCTGCTAGTTTTGCATGACATTTCTTGCATTGGCACAACATGCCCAGAAATCTTTCCAGTCTCCTGTGTAGGAGCAATATAGCTCTCCTGTGTAGGAGATGTTTGTTTTCAGTTATATGTTTCATTGTGTTGACTTCATGACACACATGTTGTTTTTTGTGCAAAACAATATTGCTTAAATAAGGCGTGTAAATTTTCCATCAATATTGCTTAAATAATATTGCTTAAATAATATTGCTTAAATAGTACATGTACTAAATAAGCTATATTGGAGATCCAGGGCTACTCCTCTTCGAGCACCGTGGCTTCTTGCTCCGACCTGGACATGCGATCTACGCAAACTTCTCACTTCCCATGTACACCTGACCAAGCAGTACAATACCACACTTCAAACCCCGTCTACCGGAATCGTCTTCACCAAGTACCCCTCGGTCATGGACAGCCTCTGCAACCACAAGGAAGCTGCAACACACTGGGCTGACGATGAACCACCTGTTTGTGCCTGTTCTGCCCTACGACAACACTCACACCAAACGCATCCTGCAGACCAACACCTTGTCTTCGACGGTGATGCACTTCACTTCATTGACAAGCCTCTTACATCGATTGCTACAGGCTCTTTACAAAACAAGATCTTTCCACCCTCCAAGGAAATCTACAAGTCCCTGCGTGCAGCATTGACTACGTGGACAAAACGAAACTCCCTTCCATCTCTGCGACATTCCGACCTGGAAGACCTTTGGAAACGGTCAATCCAATCTCACCACACCTCTCTCCTTGACCACATCACCCACAAAGACATCACACGGTTCAAACAACTCTTCCCCGATGCCATCTTCCACAACGAGGACAAGCGGGCCACTTCTCTTCGAATATTCTGCCCAATGGTCTACTACCAGTGCCTCACCAAAACCTTCGCCGATCCGTTGGTCTTCAAAAACCTGGACTCTAGTCCCAACTACATCATCGAGAATACCATCGCCGAGATCAGCAAGCAGTTTGGCAAGACCTATCCTTGGGCCCTTGGTGCCGGACGCGATCTTCCCAATGCTTATGTCCTCCCAAAATGCAAGAAGCAGTTCCGCCCGGGCAGACCAATTGTGAGCTTCCTCACGGCACCTTTTCGGCCTATGTTGAACTGCATCGCCAAGCTTATTTACCACCTCCTACCACAAGCATTCCCTCACAACCTGGCTAAGGGTGATGTCTTTGACCTCATCAAGCTCCTCAAGAACACCGATTTTGACACCCTTCCTACCCCTCAAATCTACAACCAGGACCTCGCGGGCTTCTTCACCAGCATTGACACGGACAGATTCTTGGATAGTTGGAGACTCACCTTGAAGTACTTGTCATCTACCATGAGCACCGAGTCCGATGAGATCATCTCCGTGAAAGCGACTACTGGCAACATGACTGGTGACGTTGTGAAAGGACGCACCTGCCGAACACTCAACGTGACTCGCAAAATCTTTATTCGTGACATCGAACGCATCATCCTCATGTCCCTGAAGATGACTCAGTTCTCCATCGGCACCTCGGTCTACGAACAGATTCGCGGCTCACCCATGGGTTCTCCTCTCAGCCCAGCCCTATGTATGATGGTCGTGGCCCTTTCCAAAGAAATTTGGTACCAAACGTACCATACTACGTTAGCTTCAATGGACCTGTCATCTCGCCTCCTTCGCTACGTTGACAACCGACTATGTTGGGTGGACCCATCTTGGCACTATGAGATTGCGTTCGCTACCCTCTTTGCGGGATTGATTTCCAATTTTTTTTAAAGGGGTTTAGTCTAGTAAGGAAATCGACGACCATTTGAGCCATCCTGGATTTTGTGAACTTCAGAACATTTCAGACAAGATTTGAAGTTTATAGCATCCAGCTCAGAGGGGATTCAAGCTTCCAAGGTGGAGCCTCTGAGCTTGAAGGTAAGCCCGCTGACCGTTTCGAGCTTCTTCAGATGCCTCCTTTTAGCAAGTTTCAGCAGCCCTGACGGATTTAGAGGGGTTTTCGAATGTTCAAGGGTTTCTGGATCCGTTGAGAGGAACTGAGAACTGTTGCTCTACTTTTGGTGGAGGCTTTGGAGTTGAGCTCCATTTGAGAAGCGGCTGAGTTGCGTTTTCACATCTTTTGACAGTTGACCGAGTTCGACGAAGTGAGAACTTGAATGAGAAACTTTGGGTCGAGACGCAGGCGAGATAACTTTCTCCCGAATGCGTAGCGGCGTAGCGAAGGGTTCCTGTTTATAGTCTGGAGGTCTAGGGGCTGGACCCTTGTTCGCCTCGAGTGTCTCGTCGGGTCGGCGTCGCGTCTCCAACCTGTTTGATAAAGTGTCCAAAGTGTCAAAATTGGAGGAAGTCTCGCACGAAATGCTGGTTGGGCTGCGCCCACGTGTCTTGTCTCCAGTCTTTTTCCTGTGGCGTTGCCCTGTCTATGGGGGAAGCTGCAAAACCTCTCCTTTTCGAAGGTTACCAAGCAGGCTGTCATGTCAGATATGTAATACAAAGTAGTAACTACTGGGAAGTGCTTTGTGCAAACTTTGTAGTACAAAGTCGTACTGGGAAGTATTTTTTGCAAGCTTTGTAGTACAAAGTCGTCCTGGGAAGCTTTTTTGTAAGCTTTGTAGTACAAAGTAGTACTGGGACGTCTTACGCTTTAGACTCTACACTCCACACCCAACACACTACACTTTACACGCTCTACACTCCCCACTCCACACTTTACACTCCACACTCCTTACTTTACACTCCACACTCCACACTCTACACTTACCACTCCACACTCCCCACTCTACACTGTCCACTCCACACTGCATACTGGTAACAGGGGAAATATGTACCGTCTTCAAGCGATGTTTTCCATGCGTGTCTTTGTACGTTAGTTGTCTCTTTGTGAGCTGTTGATCAGGTGCCTTCGCTGAGACGATATCCGCGCACGATGCATGAAAAAAACATGTTCGTTTTCCTATTGCAAAGGTTTTCACTCGTAGTCCAAGAACGTTCAAACATTCGGTTTCGTGGCTTCCATCTTGTTTCGGGGGACTCATGTGCTGATTCTGCATCTTCCACGCTTGAGCTCTGAGAGTCTTATGTTTTCAACAGTTGCAGATTGCTTTCACCTTCTTTCTGTTCAGCAGCTTTGTGATTTTGCATCTTCCACGCTTGAGCTGAGACATGTTTTCAGCAGTTGCAGATTGCCAGCAGCTTTGTGATTTTGCATTTTCTCGGCTGAAGCTGAGAGAGTCTTAGTGGCTCGATGTTTTCAACAGTTTCAGGTTGCTATCACCTTTAAACAGTTCAGCAGCTTGGCAGCAAACCAAGTATATATTCAGACAAGCGACATGCTCAGCGGTTCAACTCTTTTAGGGAGCACTGTTCAAGACACTGCTTTCACCATGGCTGATCCGGAGGACCATTTTCTTTTGTGAAGCTTGTGAAAAGAAACTTGTTGAGCTCAAGAACTGCTTTCAGCTGGTTACTCCTTGCTAATTTCTGAAGCCTATTCAGTTCACAGCTGCGGCAGGAGAAACTTCAGGAGGCTTTGAGGTTGCTTGAAGAAAGTAAGAAGAAGGAAGCGGAGACCCGAAAGGAGCTTGAGATAGCCAAAGCAGAGAAGCAGAAGCTTGAAAACGAAGCAGAGCAGAGAGCTTCCAAGCGCAGGCCTTCAGATCCTTTCAGGACTCCAGAAGACAAGATAGTTCGTTCAGGTTCAGCGCCTCTTTCTGGGCTCTCAGAGGCTTCAGAGAGTCAGTCACCTGCTTCAGAGCCCAAAGCAAAGAAGAGGAAGATTCAGTTTGGTTTGGCCAAATTTTTCGGAACATCTCAGGAGAAAGCTTCAGCGTCACCAGTGTCGACTTCAAGCGACGTGCGGTTGAGGAACAGACAGCAGAAGTCAAAGACGATGCTTGGGCTAGAATCAGGAAGTCAGGTTTGAGAGGAGGCAGACCACGTCTAGACCCTTCACAGAGGAGAGGCATTTTCGGGGGTTTAGCTTCAAACAGGCGAGGGCGCTTGCAGAAAGCCAAAAAGGTTGAGTTCAGCGCAGTTAGCAAAGTTGAGATCTGCAAAAAATTCAGACAGGTGGCAGAGCAGAGCACTTCAAAGGAAGCTGCGTTGAAGGAGCCCAGGAAGAGCCTTCAGATCAGCTCAGAGAGGCTGCGAGACATCTTGAGCAACGAGCAAGAATGGCTTGAGATTGTTAAGAACAGGCGCCTGGGCACTTCAGGCCTGAAGAAGAGAGGCGTTAAGCCAGGCAAGCAAGGCTTGCAGAACCGCGGCTTCAGGCGCAAGGGAGGAGGGAGGAAGAAGGAGTTTGAGCATCTGGTGGTTGAGCTTGGGAGGTGGATTTCAGAAGAAAGAAGCCACGGCCATGCGATTCAGAAAGCCATGGTGGGCAAGAAGTTTCAGGAGCTGTTGCTTCGAGACTCAGAGAGGCTTCTTCAGTCAGCCAGAGAGCTGAAAGAAGCCTTTCAAGCATCAGCCGCCAAGATTGAGGCACAGAGGATGTTTGAGAAAGCAAAGAGAGCGAAGGTCATGGCTAAGGAACTTACCAGCAACTTGAGCCCTTTGGAGGAAAAAGGTGCGAATTCAATTGAGCTGGCAGTCTTTAGACTGGCAGCTTTGGTTGGCAAGATCAGCTCCAAAGGAGGTTCTTGAGGAAGAAGATGTTTTAGACCCTGAGTATGTCATTGAGTGCCGAAAGCTGGGCCCGCCTCCAATTTGCTTTGCAGACCAGATTCCGCTTTGGGCAAAGTGCGGCTCCAAGCGCTTTGTCTTCAGTGCTGAGGAGTTTTCAGGGTCTTCAACTTCAGACTGAGCGCAGTTTGAACTGTTCAGGCAAGACTTGCAAAAAGCAGTTGAATACTTCAGAGACTTTGAGGAGAAGGACAAGGAGCAGCTGATTTCAGAGACTTTGAGGAGAAGGACAAGGAGCAGCTGATTTCAGCTGAACCCAGGCCAGAAGGTTCAAAAGCTTTTGCAATCGCAGGCAGCAGGACGATTAAGGGGCACAGTGAGAACGAGAAGTTCAGAAACACGAAGGCAAGACAGCAGGTCAGCTGGATTCCAGATGGGCTCGGTTTTGAGACCGCTTCTCGTCTTTGCAGGTGCTCACTGTAGGTTGAGCAACCTTACAGATGAGCACACCTTCAGAGAAACAGAGGATTTTCAGGTCAATGGGCAGGACTTTCAGCACGTTGCCGGGCAGAAGACACGTTTGATGTGGAACTTTGTTGAGTTGAGAAAGAAGGAGCCGCAACTCTTTCAGGACCTGGAGATTCAGCAACAGCCTTCCAGCAATGTTGACAGTGTCATTTTGACATGGTCAATTCAGGAGCAGGCAAAAGATCAGGCTTATTCAGTTTGGAATCGCGGCAGTTTCACCGCGATTTTCAGTGAGCCTGTCATTCAAACGCAGAAACTTGCCTCGCAGTTTAGCAGCATCCTTTTGGGAAAGACAGCTCAGAAGATTCAGTTGGCAGATACAGACTTTGCCAAAGAGATGAAGGTGGAGTTCAGCAGGACCTTCGGTATGAGAAAGGTTTTAGTGAGAAGACCACGTTGAGGGACATTCTCATGGCGTGCAATCAGAGCCATTTGAAGGCAGTTGAGAGAAACAGTGAAACCCAGTGGGTAATGAAAGGAGCTGTTCGCAACGGCCTGTTGGCAGATGTGCCCACAGTTGAGAATGGACTCGTTGAGATTTTGAGTCCAGAACTTCAGCTGGGATCCCACAGGATCCCGTCGGAGACGTTTCAGCCGCGGTTGAGCTGGATTGATGAGTCAGGAAGACCGAAGAAACCTGATTTCAAGCTTTCAGGACAAATCTCTTCGATTCAGGATTGTATCGAGTGGTCCTTTCAGAATCCTGTCAAGGATGAGCCAGAGAACCAGCTCGACATCGAAGGTCCTTTGGAGGAGGATTTAGCAGTTCCATTGCAGAATGCTCTTTACCTTCGTTTGAGCCCAAGTTTGAGGAATGACTTTTCACGCGCCAAGCTTGATGTTTCCTTCGCCCGGCTTCAGCAAAAAGCTAAGGCCGCTTTAGAGAAGAAGAATCAAAAGCGGGGAACAAAGAACTGTGTTGCGAAAACTGAACTTGAAGGAGCTTCAGGCCAGACTCAAGAAGATGAGCAAGAGTGAGGCCATGCAAGAGATCAAGCCAGTGGTTAAGACAAAGAAGGCGATTCAGAAACGAGGGGCTGTGAAAGTTGCAGCAAAAGGGAAGCTATCCCTTCAGAAGAAGCTGAAGAAAAGCAAGACAAAGTCTCAGCTTGAGAAGGACGCCAAAGCGATGCTTCAGAAAGATGAGCTTGAACAGGCTTCCGAGAAAGCGCCAGTAGAGGACAGCACGACAGCAGAGAAGGTTTCAGAAGCAGCGAAAGCTTCAGCAAAGGGAAGAGGAAGGGCAGCAGGAAAGGGAAGAGGAAAGGGAAGAGGAAAGGGAAGAGGAAAGGGAAGAGGAAAGGGAAGAGAAAGGGAGCAGCAACGGCTTCAGCAGAGGCTTCAGCAGAGGCTTCAGAAGGCCACAGTGAGGAGAAGATTTCAGCCTTACTTCCTGCAGGAATCAAAAAGGAGCCGGTTCAAGTCAGGGCTGTTTCAGAGGAAGCAGGGAAAGTTTACTTTGGTTTTGAAGGTGAAGTTGAGAAGCAGGAGTTTGAGACCAAAGGCAAGGAGGATTTCATCCACGTTTACAGCAGCAAGGTCCTTTCAGTGAAGGTTCAGTGGCTTCAGAAGATTGAGGCTACCTGGAGTACGCCGAAAGAATGGAAGAAGTTCACTTCGTTGAGCCGTCTCCAGGCAGCTTCCATTCTGGATACTGCGGGCTTGAGGCCGGAGCCGTTCGTTGAGAACACAGATGTGCAGGGTTTTAGGAAGGGTTGCACAAAAAAAACACAGGGAACGTAATCGTTTTAGAATACTTTATTTTGTGGGGGCCTCTAAATAGAGTAATTATTCGGCTCATTTCGTATAAATATGGATTCAAGTAGGAGAAGGAATTGAGAAAAGAATTCAAACAGCAAAATCTTAGGCCCCTGAGATCCAGATACTTTATTGAGGGGTGTGCAAACATTCATTATTATTTTGATGTCAGGTGTCTTCAGGGCATTTTTTGACATTTTTTGAAAGGGTTTAGTAAGGAAATCGACCATTTGACTGCTCCTGGATTTTCTGAACTTCAGAACATTTCAGGCAAGATTTGAAGTTTATAGCTTCCATTCTGGATACTGCCTGCTTGAGGCCGGAGCCGTTCGTTGAGAACACAGATGTGCTCGTTCCAGCCATTGAGAGCGATGGCGATTTCAGCACGCAGCACTTCCACCTTTCAAGCCAGCTCTTCAGCTGGAATTATCAAGCCTACATGAAGGATGTTCAGATCATCGATACCTATCTTTTGAAGCAGATCGTTGGAGAGCCTTTGCATGAAGGAGACGTTCCAGGTACTCCTTCAGATGTCTTTCAGAAAGAACTGAAACGTTTGGCTTCAGGCGCTCTGTTGGTCCTCCTTCCAGTGCATTCAAATCATCCAGCGCACTGGTGCCTTCTTTCAGGGAGCAGAGAGGAGCATTCAGACGATTTCGTTTGGAGGTACAGAGACACTTTGAAAGCGTTTTCAGAGGAGGCCCTTCAGAACGCTCAGTTCTTTGCAAAGATCATCAGTGGTCCTTCAGCCAAGTTTGAGAAGATTCTTTGCCCGCTTCAGCAAGGAAGCACTTGCGGCTTCTGGGCTTTAGCCTACGCAGAAGTTGAGGTCTGCAGCCGCTTTGAAGGGCCGGCCAGCAGAGGCTGGATTGAAGACATGGTTAAGGCATGGATTCAGAGGGTTAAGGGCCTCTGGATCCAGCTTCAGAAAGAAGCAATGAAGCTTCTTCAGGTCAAGATTGAGGTTGAAAGCAAGCAGGAAAAATTGAGGAAGCAGCAGGAGAAAGAGCTTGAGAAAGCGCAGAAGAGTTTAGAAGAGATCAAAGACTTCAACAGCGCTCAGGCCAAGAAAGCTTCAGAATCTCTGCTGAAGAACAGCCAGTTCTTCAGACCCAAGGACCTTTCAGAGGACGGCAAACTGGCAATGATGAAGGCCAGTGCAGGCCTTGGCGTGTGCTCTCGTTGCAGATGGTCTTCAGGCTGCTTAAGCTGCCCAGCAGAGAAGGCGCTTCAGCACTAATGGAAAGTTGAGGCTCACAAGCTTCAGAAGGTCCCCAAGATTTCAGGACTATGATTGTGTTTCCGGGGGTTTTGCTGTTTTTTCTTTCCTCTCTTGTCCTCCTTGCCTTCCTCTTCCACCTCTTCTGTCTGTCCGGTCTTTTGTCCAGGGAGGAGAGGGCAGGACGGGTTTGAAAAGGTTCAAATGGGAAAGGAATTTAGAAACAGTTTCAACCACCAAATATTAAATCAGACCCCTGAAATCCAAATACTTTATTTAGGGGTGTGCAAACATTCATTATCAATTTGATGTCAAGGGTCTTCAGGGCCACCCCCTTTGCGCGATTGTTTTTTGACATTTTTTGAAAGGGTTTAGTAAGGAAATCGACCATTTGAGCCTTGTTGATTTTTTTCAACTCCAGAACTTTTCAGGCAAGATTCGGAGTTTGGACTGTAATTACTGCTTCCAGGTCAAAGAGTCTTGAGGGCTTCAGAAAGGGTTTCAGGGGGTTCAACTAGGAAAGGCATTGAGAAACAAATTTAACCACCAAAATTTTAGACACCTGAAATCCAAATACTTTATTTAGGGGTGTGCAAACATTCATTATTATTTTGATGTCAGGGGTCTTCAGGGCTACCCCCTTTGCGCGATTGTTTTGTGACATTTTTTGAAAGGGTGTAGTAAGGAGATCGACCATTTGAGCCTTGTTGATTTTTTTTGCACTCCAGAACTTTTCAGGCAAGATTTGGAGTTTGGAGTTTACTGCTTCCAGCTCAAAGAGTCTTGAGGTCTTCAGAAAGGGTTTGAGAAAGGGTTCGAATAGGAAAATTGTTTCGCATGTGGAAAATGTTTCAGAATAATTAGTTACTTTATTGCAGGGAAATCAAACGTTTATTATTATTTTGCTGTCCAGGGTGCACAAATATTTCAGAATACTTTATTTAGGGGGGTGCAAGCATTCAGTATTATTTTGATGTCAGGGGTCTTCAGGGCTACCCCCTTTGCGCGATGGTTTTTTTTGGACATTTTTTGAAAGGGTTTAGTAAGGAAATCGATCATTTGAGCCTTGTTGTTTTTTTTGCACTCCAAAACTTTTCAGGCAAGATTTGGAGTTTGGAGTTTACTGCTTCCAGCTCAAAGAGTCTTGAGGGCTTCAGAAAGGGTTTGAGAGAGGGTTCAACTAGGAAAGGCATTGAGAAACAAATTTAACCACCAAAATTTGAGACCCCTGAAATCCAAATACTTTATTTAGGGGTGTGCAAACATTCATTATTATTCTGATGTCAGGGGTCTTCAGGGCTACCACCTTTGCGCGATTGTTTTTTTGACATTTTTTGAAAGGGTTTAGTAAGGAAATCGATCATTTGAGCCTTGTTGCTTTTTTTGCACTCCAGAACTTTTCAGGCAAGATTTGGAGTTTGGAGTTTACTGCTTCCAGCTCAAAGAGTCTTGAGGGCTTCAGAAAGGGTTTGAGAAAGGGTTCGAATAGGAAAATTGTTTCGCATGTGGAAAATGTTTCAGAATAATTAGTTACTTTATTGAAGGGAAATCAAACGTTTATTATTATTTTGCTGTCCAGGGTGCACAAATATTTCAGAATACTTTATTTAGGGGGGTGCAAGCATTCAGTATTATTTTGATGTCAGGGGTCTTCAGGGCTACCCCCTTTGCGCGATGGTTTTTTTTGGACATTTTTTGAAAGGGTTTAGTAAGGAAATCGATCATTTGAGCCTTGTTGTTTTTTTTGCACTCCAAAACTTTTCAGGCAAGATTTGGAGTTTGGAGTTTACTGCTTCCAGCTCAAAGAGTCTTGAGGGCTTCAGAAAGGGTTTGAGAGAGGGTTCAACTAGGAAAGGCATTGAGAAACAAATTTAACCACCAAAATTTGAGACCCCTGAAATCCAAATACTTTATTTAGGGGTGTGCAAACATTCATTATTATTCTGATGTCAGGGGTCTTCAGGGCTACCACCTTTGCGCGATTGTTTTTTGACATTTTTTGAAAGGGTTTAGTAAGGAAATCGATCATTTGAGCCTTGTTGCTTTTTTTGCACTCCAGAACTTTTCAGGCAAGATTTGGAGTTTGGAGTTTACTGCTTCCAGCTCAAAAAGTCTTGAGGGCTTCAGAAAGGGTTTGAGAAAGGGTTCGAATAGGAAAATTGTTTCGCATGTGGAAAATGTTTCAGAATAATTAGTTACTTTATTGAAGGGAAATCAAACGTTTATTATTATTTTGCTGTCCAGGGTGCACAAATATTTCAGAATACTTTATTTAGGGGGGTGCAAGCATTCAGTATTATTTTGCTGTGTAGGGTGCACAAATATTTCAGAATACTTTATTTAGGGGGGTGCAAGCATTCAGTATTATTTTGATGTCAAGGGTGCACAAATATTTCAGAATACTTTATTTAGGGGGGTGTCCAAACTGACACATTATTTTGATGCCAAGGGTGCGCAAATATTTCAGAATACTTTATTTAGGGGAGTGCAAACATTCATTATTATTTTGATGTGTAGGGTGCACAAATATTTCAGAATACTTTATTTAGGGGGTGTCCAAACTGGCACATTATTTTGATGTCAAGGGTGCACAAATATTTCAGAATACTTTATTTAGGGGGTGCAAACATTCATTATTATTTTGATGTGTAGGGTGCACAAATATTTCAGAATACTTTATTTGGGGGGGTGCAAACATTCAGTATTATTTTGATGTCAGGGGTCTTCAGGGCTACCCCCTTTGCGCGATGGTTTTTTTTTGGACATTTTTTGAAAGGGTTGAGTAAGGAAATCGACCATTTGAGCCTTGTTGATTTTTTTCAACTCCAGAACTTTTCAGGCAAGATTCGGAGTTTGGACTGTAATTACTGCTTCCAGGTCAAAGAGTCTTGAGGGCTTCAGAAAGGGTTTGAGGGAGGGTTCAACTAGGAAAGGAATTGAGGAACAAATTTAACCACCAAAATTTTAGACCCCTGAAATCCAAATACTTTATTTAGGGGTGTGCAAACATTCCTTATTATTTTGATGTCAGGGGTCTTCAGGGCTACCCCCTTTGCGCGATTGTTTTTTGACATTTTTTGAAAGGTTTTAGCAAGGAATCGACCATTTGAGCCTTGTTGATTTTTTTTGCACTCCAGAACTTTTCAGGCAAGATTTGGAGTTTGGAGTTTACTGTTTCCAGCTCAAAGAGTCTTGAGGGCTTCAGAAAGGGTTTGAGAAAGGGTTCGAATAGGAAAATTGTTCCACAGGTGGAAAAATATTTCAGAATAATTAGTTACTTTATTTAGGGGAGTGCAAACGTTTATTATTATTATTTTGATGTCAAGGGTGCACAAATATTTCAGAATACTTTATTTAGGGGAGTGCAAACATTCATTATTATGTTGATGTGTAGGGCGCACAAATATTTCAGAATACTTTATTTAGGGGGGGTGTCCAAACTGACACATTATTTTGATGTCAAGGGTACACAAAATATTTCAGAATACTTTATTTAGGGGAGTGCAAACATTCATTATTATTTTGATGTCAAGGGCGCACAAATATTTCAGAATACTTTATTTAGGGGGGTGCAAACATTCAGTATTCTTTTGATGTCAAGGGTGCACAAAATATTTCACAATACTTTATTTAGGGGAGTGCAAACATTCATTATTATTTTGATGTTAAGGCTGAAAAAACAACTTTGGCATTCCCAGATGAATTGCCTAATTGAAAGCGAATACATAAGGGAACTTCCCCCCCCAAAAAATCACCTATGTATTCCCAAATGAATTGCCTAATTGAAAACGAATACATAAGGGAACTCCCCCCCCCAAAAAAAAAACACCTATGTATTCCCAGATGAATTGCCTAATCCCCCGCCAAAACAAGTCACCTATGTATTCCCAAATGAATTGCCTAATTGAAAACGAATACATAAGGGAACTTCCTCCCCCAAAAAATACCTATGTATTCCCAAATGACTTGCCAATTGAAAACGAATACATAAGGGAACTTTCCCCCCCCAAAATATCACGTATGTATTCCCAAATGAATTGCCTAATTGAAAACGAATGCTAAAGGGAAAAAAATGAAAAAAACGGGAAAAAATTGGCGTACTTTATTTTGGGGGGTTTATTAATCCCATGTTGACATTAAGAGATCGAGGACGCAAGGAACTTGAGAAGAATCTTGATTCGCATCTGCCTGACTCACATGGTGTACATCTGAGGTGATGGATACCTGTGGCATCCTGTAGCAACAGGGCGGCAATCGTGCCAAAATGGAGCAATCAGGGCATCCTCACTGATGCTCCAAGGCATGTCCTTTTTGGGCTGTTCTCAGTCCTTGGGCTGATTGCTCTCAAGATACAGTGAGGATCAGTGAGGTCACACAAGATCCTAACTGTACTATGCCTCACAAAGGACGAGGTACTCTAGTTACATGATCAGCTTTGCAGCATATTCAGCATATTCCGCAATAGATCCAATACATTTGTTCCATGTTCTGGATGGATTGGATGTAAGATGATTTCGCAGCCTGTTTTAGTTGGAGGTCGCTTCCCATCTCGCAGCCAGCCACGAGCGGTGGGATTGCTTTCTCCTGGGGACATGTGCAGGTGCGGCTGCGAATCCTCAACCAACCGCAATCCCCCAACCCCTTCCTGAAATTTCCGGAATTTGCTTAGCTTTTCCATGCTTTTCCTACATGCGCTTGATGTCTTCACAAGTAAAATTAGCTCTGCGCTGACTCTGCCGCAATTGTCTTGTTGTGCGCGGCTTCATATGGCTTCAAATCCTCAGGATATCTGAGTTTGGGCTGGGGCTGAGGGTTCCCATGGACCATTCTGAGTTAAGCTTTCCGACAGACCTGCCTATGACTTGCCTGCAGGATGACAAAGTAATGTTCATCGGTTGCCTAAGGGCAAAGTTCAGCATGGTTCATGGTGTCTGCTTGGACATTGTGCGCCTTTCCATCCTGATTCTGGCTCGAAGAGCATCGAAGAGCACATTCAGCAGCCACGTGGTTGCATCATTCCC